ACAAATGACGATAATTTAGCTCAGCTATCATACGAATTACCGGACGATATGAGCCTAGACGGGGCGCTAGAAGCTGGATCAGAATTGATGAGGAGCGTAGAAGAGGATGAAAAGATGCCTGATAACGAGAAAGGTCATCATCATAATCTTACAACAACGCACAAACCGCGAACAACTCCTTCGAGTAATTCCCATAAAAACAGACCACATCATCACGACGAGCGAGTGAAGTCTCAATCGGCTGAATCTGCACCAGAATCTGAGCCAGAAAGTGAACCAACCACTAAATTCGTTGATCAGATTCAGTCGTCACTGAAATCGTTACAATCACCGTCACGAAAAGTTGCCGTCATTGATGATCACGCCAGTGCTGAACGTAAACCAAAACGTGTGGAACCATCGCTGTCAAAATTGACGAATGAACGGTTAGTGTTTTCATTGTCGTAGGCGGTTTCTATCGTTTTTACTCTACATTCGGAGAATTCAGCGATTTTGAAGTTGACTTGTTAAGGCGGATAGCGGTTGATCAGCAAATATCAACGGAAAGCGATTTGGATGAAAATTCGGAAGCGACAGGTGATCGCCACGAAACAACACACGGAAAAACTGAAAGTGCGTCAAAAACATGGCCGAATAGCGCAATCGACTACTCAGATGAGGACCAGCTCATTGAGAAGGTATCATTTATATATTGCTTTGATTCTTATGGTTCTGTCACTGCTTCTATAATATTATAACTATTGTCAATGTTTTCATGCGAATTGGTCAACGAATGAAAAGGCAGTGGGGTCATTTGAGACTTCGCTCGTTGACTGATACCAATATGAGCCGTAACCCTTCCATTCGATTGCAAACAGTCGTCCTATCATTCCCGTCATCCAAATTAACCACTTTGAAGTGCTATTCAGCTCCTCCAAGAAGAAGATACTGAGAAAGCACTCGCAATGCTACTCGATCGCATGACTGCAGAGGCAGCAGATAAACTGCACAGTGACAATAACGATAAGCAAGAACAGCAGAACAGTCAGAAAAAACCACATTCTGGTGAACTCTTCCACATACGAGTGAAAAATCGAGTACGTTACTTTCATTGTTGTATCAGTCCAGTGACAAACAAAAACTTATCCTGTCAAGCATAATCGGTTTTAATGTCTTTTCAGCAGTTCTTTCCCCATATTGCTAACAACATCATTGTTATCTTGAAACTGTGAATTGCTTTAAACTGAAGTACACTTTCTAACGCTTTTGTTATCGGTAATCCGAAAAGAAGGTACAGGTCAAAAGAGATACAGGTCAAAATCAGGCGAGATTAAGCGTGCTACAGTGCTTATACAATAATCAAACGAGTTCGTCTGCAGATGTTCTTCTGCATTACTGCGTTTAGTGGTTGAATCAAATTTTCATAAAACACCAAGCATGCTTGTTAGTGGCAGAACTGATATGGTCTAATTTTGATACAGTATGCAAAAGTTGTGATGAGTGAAAGAGGGGCAATGTAGCTGTGATGAGAACAGCAGTAATATATTCATTTGCCTATGCACTCGTGTGTAAAATATGCAATCTCTCAGTAATTTATTGAAGCACTCCGCAACGTCCGCTGAAGATGAAAAATATCGCAAAATGACAAGTGAAAATGATCATCATGCGTTCTCGAATAAGCTATCAATTCAGCCATCGATTTCATTTGGTTCGCTTGCAGAGCTCGATGATGGCGCTGCAACAAATGTTCGCGTTATTGTTATGATCCATTTCATTATTGTTATTGATACTGCTATTATTATTATTTATGGAATTATTGTTATCATTGTTATCGCAGTTAAATCAGCACAAGAAATGTTGCAACTATTCTATCTTTCAGGAGCACCAAAGAGGAACCTCATCAAATAGCGGTGATCAATCTCCACTGAATGAAATCGAATCGTTGAGAGCTACTGTAAAGAAAATGCAAGTAAGTTTTCTCGAACTCGAATGAGATCGATGATAAATATCTTAAATAATTCTGAACAATGATTTGTTGCTACCTTGGGTGGTACCCGGTCAATCTGCCTAAAGACACATTGCCTAACGGATAGTTTGCCTAATGGACTGTTTGCCCAACTTGCGGTTTCTTAATGGATATTTCGCTTAATAGGCTAAGTGTTCCTTAGGCAAACTGTCGTTAGGCAAGATGTCTTTAGGCAGA